CTGATGGGTTTTGTTGTCCTTTATGACACAAAATTACCAAAAATATTAAAAACCATCAAAATAAAACCTGATTTGATGATTAAATGTTAAATAATTTAAAGTTTTGTTTTTTTAAAGTTAAATAAATGAAGTTAAAACAACATGTTTTAATATAAAGGAGATGATGTAATCACGCGCCACCTTTTCAACATGTTCGGCGCGCGCGCGCGAGAACAAATTGTACTCGTGTACGCGCGCGTGCTGACAGTAAACGCACGTGGTCCAGCTCCGAGCTCAGGTGAGAGCGGAAGTTCGGGCACCGGCCCGGCCCGGCCCGGACCGGCTCGGATACTCACGCACGCAGAGGCAGGCCAGCAGCTTGGCTCCGGTCTCCGGTACCGGGCAGACCGGAAACAGCGGCTTCAGGAGGTAGGTGGCGAACACGTAGGCGACGATGTACTGCGAGGACGGGCGGATGATGAGCAGCTCGATCCAGAGCTTCAGGAAGGCGGGCAGCGAGCCGTACACCTCCAGGATGTAGGCGTAGTCCCCCCCGGACTTGGTGATGGTGGTCCCCAGCTCCGCGTAGCACAGGGCCCCCACCGTGGAGAAGACCCCGCACACCGCCCACACGATCAGCGACAGACCCACCGAGCCCGCCTCCTTCACCACGCCGGTCGGCGTCACGAAGATGCCGGAGCCGATGATGGTGCCCACGATGATGGCCACGCCGTTCACCAGGGTGATGGTCCTCTTCAGGACGACCCCCTCGCCCCCCGCAGCCTCCGCGGGCAGCAGGGCGGCGGGGCTCTTGGCGTCGCTGCCCGGCGTCCCGGCGGGGCTGGAGCCCGCGGACAGCATCCTCTCCGTCACCTGCCCGTCGTCCTCCCTGCCCGCCGAGGAGCCGCCGGAGCTCCGCTTCTTCACGCCGGACATCTCGCTTCCTGTGTCGTCCCCGCGGTGCGTGGAGCCGACGCTGGTCCGTGTTTCTGTGCGCTGCGGCCGGCTTCAGCCACGAGGGTCCGCGGTGTGTCTGCGGGTCGGAGCCGCGCGTCTCTCAAAGTAGTGGATTAAAAAAAAAAAAAGAAAAGAGGAAAAAGGTTTGATGGGCGGCCTCCATCAAAGGACAGCCCACCAATTAATTCAGAGCATCGGATAAAAATGCAGCTTCGCTCTTTTCCGCCCCCTGCCGGCGGAGCTCGGAACTGCAGCCTCAGCATCCCTCCGGAGGACCACTTCAGACACAAACTCCTGTCCTACAGCTTACTCTGATTTACCATTTTTACACATGGAAAATTGGTTTTATTACAATTTATGTAGATTATTTAAAAATCACAGCTTAAAGTGTTTTTTTTAATTACAGATTATCCAGATCTTCAAACACTTTAATCATCTCATTATCTCCACAACACAGAGAGTCTTTATCAGGATGTGCTTATCTCCAGAAAACAACCTTTGATTTATTGAAGAAGAGAAACAAAAACATCATGTGATTCTGAGAAAACCTCATCAGCTCCGTCACGTTCCTGCTCGTTTTATCTTTTTACTCTAAAATGTTTCCAAGCGTTTTTAACATGTTGGGACGTCAAAGTTTAACCTAAAACCTGTTAAACACTGTGTTGTCTTTATTTTTTGGAAATTAAAGCTTTAAAAAGAAAAAAAAGTGTTTTGACTTAAGCTGCAAATAAAGTGATTAAATAAATAACGCTGAGTCAGCTTTTAGCAGTTCACATACAGACACATTCTTAAATATTTTTACAAGTTTTACAGGAAACGCACAAAAAAACCTTGTACCACAACATTTTTGATATTCATGACAAACTTTTAAAAAGTGTTTTTGTCTTGTGCTGCTTTCAGCCTCCAGCCAGTCTTTTGCTTTGAGGCTTTTTAATGGTTTTTAACTGGTGTTTTAGCCTCCGGTTACAAATTTTCTACTTTTAGTATTTAGCTAGTTACTTTTTACTACTTTTCTAACCTTTTTAGTTTATGTTTTCTGCCTCTTTAGCTCCAAAAGTTTCAGTTTTTTCAGCATCGCTGACAGAGACGTCTGTAACTAATCCGCTTGTTTTTTATTCTTTGCTCAGTTTAGGTCGTTTAACAAAATAAAATCCTCCTAAAATGAGTAAAAGTAAAAATAAAAAGCATCAAAAGACCAAATAAGCCCTTTGAAGTCTGGATGAAGACTTTTGCACAGATAGTTAAATGTTTAAACAGCTTCAGGACAGATCAGGACTTATGTTCAGGTGAGGACTCAGACCTGTCAAACTGGTTTTATTCAGAAACACTGAAACAGGAACAAGTTCATGTTGTAACTTCCTGTTTCAGATCCGCCCTCTGAGTCACAGAGAACCACAGCAAGTTCTGACCCGGTTTCATCAGAAACAAAAGATTCTGATGAAACTCCTCAGACTGGATCTGCAAATGATGGAGGTGAAACACCGGCAGGGATGTCATCAGATCATAGTCGAAGATATTTGAAAAATAAATAAAAATCTGTTCAAACTGGAGACTTTATGATTATTATTATACATGACATCTGAACAACAGCTAAAATCTGCTGAAGCAGCTAAAACTCAGCTGTTTAACCTACAACAATAAATACAGAATATTTAAAAATGAGCAGAGCTGAGAGTAAAAACTGCTGAAAATTAGCAAACATGATAAAAACTACAACAAAACAGCAGCTAAAAGAGATGCAGGAACCGAAGTAGATTATACAGCAGCTAAAATTAGCAAAACAGATACTAAGATGAAAATCTGTAGCTAAAGGTTACAACTGGAACGATAGGTTAAAAAAAAATCTAATTAGCAACACTGTCAATAAAAAATAGCAAAGCTGTAGCTAAGTGCTAAAAATAATATATATGCTAAAGCTAAAATTAGCAAACCAGGAACTAAATTTCCCAAAAGAGACTGAAATTTAAATTAACAAAACAGATGCTAAACTGTACAGTTAGTTAGCTAAATGCAGGTTCTAGATCAGTGGTTCCCAAACTTTTTATCTTCTGACCCAAAAAATATCCACGGCAAAAACTTGTGACCCCAAATATTACTGGTCTGAGTACACGAACTTTGTTAACAACCCTAAAAACACAGGCTTTTTGACAATCTAAACAGCTTATACACAAATACAAATACTTATTTATAATTTTTATGTGTTTTTGTAATAGTTATAGGGAAAATKTTACATTAGCAATTATTGTATTACCCTTTAAATTGATTTCTGGAGATTATCCAAGGTGCTTCATGACCCAGAATTGGGTCCCAAGCCCAACTTTGGGAACCAAAGTGCAGTGGTTCCCAAACTTTTCAGCTTTTGACCCACAAAATAACAGTAGCAGAGACCTGAGCCCCCAACTGTTTTTTGGATGATAAACATTTGTATCAGGTCAACTAAACATGGGCATAGTAACAATATTTTTATACTACATTTATCCATTTTAAATACACTAACCTCACTCCTTTGTAACAACTAAGGCAAAAATGTAATTAATTCTGAAAATCTTTTCAGGACCCCACTTTGGGTCCCGACCCCAACTTTGGGAAACACTGTTCTAGATGACTCACATCAAAAATCCTGTGTTCTACAGAGGACTGGTCCAGTGACCTATAGAAATGACTCAGCCTGGAACTGAAAACATGGATGGAGGACAACAGAGCTGCTTCATGGAAGAAGAACCTCAGCTTAGCCTGTTAGCATTTGTGCTAGTGCCGACGCTATATTGCCTTATATGTATTAGCTCGGTGCTAGCACAACAAACAAGCTAAACTGTTGTCCTCCATCCATATTTTCAGTTACAGCTGAGTCATTTTTGTGTTCCCCTCTCTGTCATGTGGATGGAGGAACTCAGTGACGAGAGGAGAATGTGTAGCGCTAAGCTAATATATATGGTGATAGCATCGGTGCTAATGCTAAAGCTAACAAGCTAAGCTGAGGTTCTTCTTCCATGAAGCAGCTCTGTTGTCCTCCATCCATATTTTCAGTTCCAGGCTGAGTCATTTCTACCTTCTCCTCTCTGTCAACGCTCTCTGGTTTCATTTAAAAGAGTCGATCATCAGATATTGTCCAAGATTAACCTTCAGGGTGGATATAGCTCGCTAGCAGCCTCGCACCGAGGACCTATCCACGTCATCATTTACCCAGAATGCTTTGTGTGTAAACAAAATGGCCCCGTCCGTGTTAAAATATATTTTTAAACTTTTAGTTTAAAAATGATAAAAACTGAACCTCCTACAGTATTTTTAAAGTCTTTATTTTACAGTTAAATTATGTTTTTTTAATAAAGTCTAATGTTACAGGTAATCGGGGATCCCTTTAAGAATCGTCTCGTGAACACGTGGAGGCTCAGAGCTGCAGGACTATTCAGTTTCTGTGACACACCCTGCAGGTCTGGTTCTGATGCTCCTGATGTGGACCCGTCCACCGACACACGTCCAGACAGATCATTTCCTGTCCAGACGAGGAGGACACCTTCAGGATTTATTCTCAAAATTCAGCCCAAAGCTGGACTTTTCTATATGAACCAAAACCTGAAGAATGCAGGACTTTATTCATGTTGGACCACATCAGAAATCCACCTTAATCCATGTCTGCGGTCCTGTGGGTCCAGATGTGTCCCAGAGCAGGGTTCACTCAGGACACGGTGCGTGTGTGTCTCTGTTAAAAACAAACCGTGACATTAAAGGACCTGTGGCATTGATTTTTTTGTAATAAATATGAAAGCATTTTTGGAAAGAACATTTTTTAACGTTTTGAAAAAATAAATTTCTTGCCGCTGAGATGAACAGTTGTTGAGATATTTGCATGTTCAGTAACAGGAAGTGATGTCAGAGGAGAATATCTGAATGCAAACAAAGCATTGACAACTAAAAACACAGACTGAAGAGAAGAATCTGAGGTTTATTTAGATTATTTTGAGTCACTATAAAAGTAAAAGAGTTTAAATTTTGTTTCAATAAACAAAAACCAGGAAATTTGTTCTCTTAAAGAGTTCCGCTATGGGATAAATTTTGTGCCAGCAGGAACTGGATTTCAATTCCTCAGATTAAATCTGAATGTGCATAATTTAAAAATGAATGCATTGGTTTGAAGCTGAATTTAATGATTGAATTAATTTTCTTTGGAACTGTATTTTAGTTTATTAAAAACTCAGTTTGACTACTTTCACTTTCAGTTCCATAATTCAGATTTTTGTGTCACATCCTGGTCCTTGAGAAAGCCAGGCAGAGTAATCAAACACAGATCCACAGATTTATGTTTCACTTTGGTGAAGTTTCCCTTCTGGATGTAACAGAGTTGATGCAATCCACTGTAAAAGTGACAAAAACACACAAAGTTATTTTATTTCAGTGATTAATTTGACCTATATGTAGAAAATGTTACATTTACATCACATCATGGATCACATATTGATCAGATGCTGCTGCTGACTGATCCATGATGTGATGTAAATGTAACATTTTCTACATATAGGTCAAATTAATCACTGCAATAAAATAACTTTGTGTGTTTTTGTCACTTTTACAGTGGATTGCATCAACTCTGTTACATCCAGAAGGGAAACTTCACCAAAGTGAAACATAAATCTGTGGATCTGTGTTTGATTACTCTGCCTGGCTTTSTCAAGGACCAGGATGTGACACAAAAATCTGAATTATGGAACTGAAAGTGAAAGTAGTCAAACTGAGTTTTTAATAAACCAAAATACAGTTTSAAAGCAAATTAATTCAGATACAAAACTTTAAATTCAGTTTCAATTCAGTGAAATTTATTTTTAAACCAATGCATTCATTTTCAAATTATGCACATTCAGATTCAATTCCTGTTGGCACAAGATTTATCCCATATTCCCCTTTGATGTCACTTCCTGTTTCACTTTAGCTTAGCAAAGTTCAAAAGGAAATCTGACAGTTATGTGATGAAACAGGTAAAATCGTGCTTTTTTGTCAAGTTTTTTTAATAAAGACGTTTTCGTTGACTTTTTGTCTTTGCAGGATGTTCACGTCAGGACATTTAAAATCCTGATGCAGGACTGAAGGTCCAGGTTCTGGTTTCTCATCAGATTCTGGAGCTGCACTCATCCTCATCCACAGGCCCGGTTCTGTCTGCAGGTTCTGACCCACTGACTGCTCAGAAACACGTGGTCTGAAACTCTTCACACGCTCCCAGTTTGACGTGATTTAATCCCATCTCAACATTCCAGCTTCTCATCTGACGGCCCACTTCTGACGGCTGAAAGGAGTTGTTTGTCAGGGTCAGAATGTAGGATTGTGTGTGTGTGTGTGTGTGTGTGTGTGTGTGTGTGTGTGTGTGTGTGTGTGTGTGTGTGTGTGTGTGGCGGTAAACCCGGAGCGAACATGTTGGTTCTGTCCCATGGTGGAGGCAGCTCCCAGTTCCTCCTGGGAATCTGGGTGTGGGACGATCCTCACGCTCGCCTTCTTCCACCAAACAAACCTTCTGATTTATTTTACTGACTTGATAAAAACCTGCAGAGTTTTAAACAAAAACCATCTTTTCTGTTGAAAACAAAGTTCTGATTGTTTTGGTCGAAGAAAAACAGTTTCAAGTTTTAACGTAGCTCCACACCATCAGCTCAACATCTTTAAATGAACTGAACAGCCCATATGCCACTCCCAGCACTTCCTGTTCACGGTCAACGCAGTGTTAGCGAAATATTTTTTCACCCGACAACGACTCTTAATGATCTCCACAGTACAGAATTATCATATTACATGTACCAACATTAACACAGGAGACGTACAGGTCCAGCCAAGTGGAAAAAAATCACTCCAAAGTGGATTAAAGACAGAAAAACAAAGGAAAGATGTTTGTGTTTATGGTTCCAGAATTTAGCCTTTTTCACTTTTCCTTGGCTGCTTGTTCTGTGAATTTTTCACGTAGAGCTGTGACACTTATATTGTTGGAAAGAGCAGAGTCTGGGCTTTAAACTGATGGGCTACTTGTATGGTTTGGATCATTTTCCCCGACGTTAGTGAACTGAAAACGTGATGATTATCAGGCCGAGGTTCTGCTGCTCTCGGTGCTCGGGGGAGGAGGGCACGCTCGTCACTCGGCTTTAGTCTTTAGTCTGTTTCAAGAAAACTTTGCTGACAAACAAATTAACAGACAGAAGTAAAACAATCGATTTAGAGCAATGTTTTTATCTCATCAGTAAAATGAGTTCATCACTTAAAGTAGTTTTATTCATAAACTGATGTTTTTGAACAAATCTGAGCCTCCATCTGGCAACACATCAGGATGTATTTTAAAGGTTAATTGGCTTCGCTTCTCAGTCCTGAAGGCTGATTTTTATCATATAAATACATCAGATCTTTGCTCACCTGGACCAAAAACTAAATGTTGTCCAAGAGAAAACAACCTGAAGATCAAAAAGAAAAAAAAAAGTGTTTCTTCTGGAGTTCCTCTGAAACAGATGAGAGAGGAAGATGAGGAGGATGAAGAGCAGGCTGGGAGCTCAGGGGGAGTCGGGCCTCTCGGTCTTTGTTCCCGTTGATCCAAAACAATTCCTCTCAGCCGGAGAACTATTTACTCAGAACTTCAAAAATATCTGTTCATGGAAGAGAGTGAAAGGAAACACGTCTGTTTGTCTGTTAGCAAAATATCTCAGAATCAAAGAACTGATATTAATAAAACTCAGGAAGTTATCATCAGATGGTTTATTACAACTTTATAAAACACTGAATTTGTTATAAAGCTGTTATTTTTTATAGAGTTAAAAACTTTGGCAAGGCGGCGGCATGCATTCCTTCAACAAACTATTTTAAAAATACTTTTTAATTAAAAAAAAAACAATCAGACCAGATTCATTTGTTTTTCTAAAACTTCAGATTTTATTTTGATTTTAATCAGTTTTAAGCAGCCGATCCTCAGAACCAGAACCAGAACCAGAACAGTTTACATGATCAGAGGGAATAAAAAGGTTTCAGTGAAACTGAAACATGGCACAGGTCCGGTTCCCACATGGACCTGGTTCAGTCCGGACCCGCAGCCGGTCCGTCCACATCCCTACCATCAGGGGAAACCCAGAAGCTGAGGCCTCCGTGCAGAACCGGGCCAAACACAACAAGAGCTGGCCTCCCGCTGGACCCGGGTCAGGTCCAGACCCAGGTCCCACCCAGCAGCAAGGAGAGCACTTTAAACAGGACGTCCAAACATTTTGTCACATCGGCCAAAAATATTTTTCCTTTACCTGCTCAACAATAAACGAAGCATTTAATACTTTATTAAACCAATAAAATCTGATTTATTACTGGAAATAAACATTAATTCATCCAGATCAAGAAATTTAAAGGGTTTTGCAGGTTTTCTTTATTGAAAGAAATTTTGCAATTTTCTTTAGATGCTGTTTTTTAAATTATTTCAGATATTTAAATTATACCTAGCTTCCCACTTATTACAAAATAACACATTTCATAATAATATGTAAAACTTAAAGAAGCACAGGAACTATAAAAACTAGAGTTCAGACGACAGTAAATGTCAATAAAACTATAAAAATGAACATTTTAAAACAGTTCAGTTTTGTCTGAAAACTTCAATCATTTCCAGTAGATTTAATAAAAACAACTCAGATGTTTTTAATCTGATAAAATACTTTATTTCTGAACAAATCATCAACTTTTCTGTACATCAGTGATCTGACC